AAACCACAACAGGGCACTGAGCAGGCAGAGAACTGGGCCTAAATACCCCTCCTTTAGTTCTGATAGGCTGTAACCAGCCTTTGACCCCAAAGTCAGTTACCAGGTTTCATTTGCATAATTGCTGCTCAGCATTAACCCTTCTGTGGATTAGTTTGCTGCTCGGCACAACTTTTCCTGTGTGGACAGTAAATGTCATTAACCACATTTACTTACAAAAGATACACACTCACTAAGAGACACCAAACAGACTCACTAACAGACACACGCTAACAGACACACACAAACTAACACACTCAGTAACAGACACACACAGACTAACACACACACTCAATAACAGACACACACAAACTAACACACACACACACAAAAACTAACACACTCACTGACACTCACTAGCAGACACACACGCAGTAACACACACACTGACACAAAAACTAACACTAACACACACACACACTCTAATACTAACACACACCCCCCCAGGAGAAGAGGCTGGCCACACTGGCGTACATACCACAGTATTTACGCCAGTGTTCTAGACACTAGAGCCACTGCATTAAGCTGTAGTGGTTCTGGTGCATTTACAGTTCCTTTAACTCAACATTTAAATTATATTGAAGGGTAAACACCAAATTGTAGTGAAAACCGATTTGCAAAATATAGGCAAAAACATCCAATTTGAAAAATGTATATTGGCTATTTTGCCTAAATGTTTCACTTTGATTTTTAATTCACTACAATCCACATGGTTATTCAATAAAGTGAGAATTCAAAGTGAGCTTTAAATTTAAGGCCTGAGTCAGTTATCCTCTGAGTGAGCAATGTTTTCAGTTCGAGTGCTCTGGCCTTAATTTTGAAATTCTCTGTAAATTCACTTTGAATTCTCACTTTAGTCAATAATCCTGTCAGTATTGAATAAATACATTTGTTGTGAGAAAAATTAGCTTCACAAAAACAAGCTAATTTACATTCTAACCAAGTGAGTCTTCAGATCAAAGGTCCACAAGAGAATCCCAGGATTCCGACTATTTTTCATTTCTGAGTTTCTCCAGTTGAATTCCAGAATTCATATTGTATTATCGAAATTATTTAGAGCACTCGAGATGTCCTAGAAACATAAAAGCAATCTGTCTTTGACAATCTGATTCTGTACCGCACACATCGACTTTCCAAGTTTTCTGAATACTATCTTTTGTGTGCAATAAATATAAATACTTATCAGAACAGGAATACAATTATCATTACTCATTCTGTCACACGGCAGGTTATTAGGTAGTTCCATGTGATTGTTTTTATGGGGCCAAAGAACATATCTTGTCACATGACGTTTAACCTCCTGTTGAGTTAACCTGTACTAGTTCCGCAAATAAAAAACTATCATAAAAATATGCTGCTCTTTAATGTGCGTTTGTAGAATGATACGATTAGTGGGGTTAGAGAAAAGAATTGGGAATGTTTATAGATAGAGAGGTGTTTAAGATTAAGTTTAAGGCACAGGTGTAACAAGGGTAGTATGCACCCTGGGTGTATGTGTCGCTCTTCAGTGCCCACCCCCCAAATCCACCACCGCAAATACAAATGTACAAAAGTTAAGGTGACACATCATAGCTACTATTGCAATGGTTAGTAGGCAAGGAGGCTATTGGTGGAGTCCATACAGTTTTTGTCAAATTATTTTAGAGTGTTTTTACAAAAATGGACACTATAGGCACTGTAACCGTTTCACCTCATTGAAATGGTTATAACGCCTTGAGTTTCCAGAAGCTGTTCTTCCATTTAGTGGTGAACTATTTTTGAGCAGTTAAACACTAAATAAGGTTCCCTGGACACCCACAATATGGGTCCCTTCTAGTCTTAAAAATCGGCTAAGGCTTATGGTGTAGCATTCTACAATACGGGTGTGCGGTGCAGAGGACATTAGGTCCCCCCCAATTTGTATTTAGGTCCCCCCCTATTCTAGTTTAGGGCCCCCACCCACCGCTCAGGGGTGAGGGCTAGGGGGGAGGACATTAGGTCCCCCCCAATTTGTATTTAGGGCCCCCACCCACCACTCAGGGGTGGGAGCCAGGGGGAGGACATTAGGTTTCCCCCCCCTTATTCTTGTTTAGGGCCCCCACCCACCGTTTAGGGGTCGGGCCGGTGGGGAGGACAATAGGTCCTCCCCGCTTTTTTTATTTTGGGGCCCCCACCCGCCACTCAGGCGTAGGGGCTGGGGGGGCAATAGGTCCCCGTTTTAGTTTAAAAGCCCCCACACGCACATCATGGGTGGGGGCTCAGGAGGGGGAACTTTTTTTTTTTTTTAACAGTGAACAGCCACAGGCTGCTCACTGTTTATTAAACATGCCCCTACTCGAGTAGGGGCTGAATTTACTAATACTAAGTAATCTTTACTTAGTATTAGTAAATTTGGCTGAAAGACCAATTCAGGTCTTTCAGCCTTTTAGTAGATAGCTCCCTAATACCGTGGGAATTAGGGAGTTATCTACTTATTCATTCCTGTCATTACATGACTGGCTAAGTAACTTACATTTTATATGAATGTATGTTACTTGATTGTTGTAAGTGTTGCAAATGCTTACAGCTGAATCCTGGCTATGTTTGTATACGATTTATTTGAAATTGTATACAATATAACATTCTTCTTCTTTCACTGGGTAAGTATATTAGTACTTAGGCAATACTGTGCTTCGGAACTTCGGCACTTTGACACCTCAGAACTTCGGCACTTCAGCAATTCAGCACTACTACACTTCGGAAATTCGGTAATTTCGGCAATTCGGCACTTCGGCTATTCGGACATTCGGAAGCATCCGAATGTCGGAATTACCCAAAATTTGGCCGAATTTTAATTCGGACCGAAACGAATTGCACGTGTCTAATGGGAAATTCGGAATAAGTAACCAAGCCTTTCCTCTATAAAATCCATCTTGGCCCAGTCACGTTTGGCTTTTGTGGCGGAACCAACCTCGCCACTGGCCACTGGAGGAGCCTGGTTGCCCACCTCTTGCCGTTGGACTATGGCCCCATGTTAAAAACCTTTTATTTTCCCTGCAGAAAGGCTTATTCATGCCTTTCTGCCTGGGCGTTCGGTAGATTGAATCTACCGAACAAACTATCGAACGACTGACCACCTGGGAACTGGAGTGTGCCACTCATTAACCTCCCAGAAGCTGCGGTTAACCTAAGCTAAGCTATCTGGGGATAGGAAGCATATGTATGTTCACATGTAATATTCGTAACTATTCTAGTATTACTTCCCAATTATCTCCAGGACAGAGAGGAGGGATTATAATGCATTGTGGGAGTGTTTTAACCCTGTGTGTCTGTGATTGGTCACTGTCCAATATATGTCCCAGTCTTCCATCTGGTCCCCTAGGGGAGTGTCCTCCAGGTGGAAGACCTGCATGAAAGCCGGGCAGGTAGCCCCAGTAAACCAGTTCACTGCTTGACCCTCAAACGAAGTGTCGTCTCATTCTTGGGGGGGATTTGATTGTATGCTGTTACAGTTCGACTGCCAGGAGTGTAAGCTGTTTGTAAGGTTTTTCCTGTTCGGCTGTTTAAGAGCATTCATGTTTTTCCTGTTCGGGAGTTGGAGGAATCATATGGTTCCAGTTCGGGAGTTGGAGAATTTGTGTGTTTGCAGTTCAGGAGATTGGTGATTGCAGTAGCTACCTGTGCATCTGAAAGGGGAATGTCGCCTAAACGGTTTTTAACCTCTTGGGTGCAAAACGGTCCGTTACAGCTTTGTTTTTGACTATTTGGGCACCACTCTATAGGAAAAAGTTCAATGCGGCCTGAGGTAAACCCAGCACATACAGACACCAGGCACCATGACCATTTCATGTCACTGACGTAGTCATGGTGGTTGGTCCCAAATCCAATACGCTGCCCACAAATCCAATACACTGCCCACCTTCTCTCCCTCCACTCTTATACACTGCCCAATCCCCCCACTCTAAAACACTGTTCTCCTATATGATACACTAACCCCCCAAACTAATACACTAACCCCCTATATAATACAATGCCCTCCACTAATACACAGCCTCCCCCAATCTAATATATTGTACCCTGTATATAGATAGATACCCGCAGCCCTGCCCCCCTCCAATACACTTAAATGTGTATGACGTCACATACATTCACATACTGTATGCGCATATCTGGCGGCCGGCGCGCACTAATGTTTAGTGCTCTTGCAGCCAGAGGAGCACGCGATCGACCGTGGCAGTGCAGACAGGAAAGATATTTCCTGTCTTGCAGCTGGTCACAGCCACAGCACAAAACTGCCCCAGGGCAGGCGGGCCGCAAAGATAGTCATTATATAAATAATGACATAATAACAAGTTTAACATGCTTGATCTATAACATCACCAGATATTACAGTATGCGGTAACACCCAAATAGCTGTTTAACCCCTTAAGGACCAAACTTCTGGAATAAAAGGGAATCATGACATGTCACACGTCATGTGTTCTTAAGGGGTTAAAAAAATAATAATATTAATTATTCAATTATTTTTTCACTAAATTGTGCAAACATCATGTTAGTTCTCCATAATGGCTGGTTCAGTGACTAATATATGGTATAAAGTGGCTGTATGTTACTATACTGTTATAATAATCATATAATATAATCCCAATATTATTTTATAATACAATATATGTGAAGACTCTGGCTGAGCTCTACACTGCCCCTAGTGGGTGAATGATGTCCACTGTCACTCTGTTATAACACACAGACACCATGTATTTCTGGTACTCGGGCGCCATCTGCAGGCAGTGTATGACATTGCTGTACATGTCCAGGGAGCGCTGCTGGTTGCTAGGATGTGAGATTAGACACTTCCGTACACAGCGTTACCATAGTAACGAGACGCGGGATCTGCACCTCCAGCACCTCCAGCACCTCCAGCACCTCCAGCACCTCCAGCACAGCCAGCACAGCACGGGAGGACCGGAGTGAGGGAGCTGAGAGCCAGGAGACGGAGTGAGGGAGCTGGGAGCCAGGAGACGGAGTGAGGGAGCTGGGAGCCAGGAGCGGGGCCACGAGCCGGAGTGAGGGAGCTGGGAGCCAGGAGCGGGGCCACGAGCCGGAGTGAGGGAGCTGGGAGCCAGGAGCGGGGCCACGAGCCGTAGTGAGGGAGCTGGGAGCCAGGAGCGGGGCCACGAGCCGGAGTGAGGGAGCTGGGAGCCAGGCAGTGAAGGTAATAGGTAATACTGGGCCCTACATATTGTCTACCATGATTATACATTATATATTAGCAGCTATTCAGAATATACATACACAATGTATCTATATACTGGGTACAATGTATCTATCTATATACTGGGTATAATGTATCTATCTATATACTGGGTACAATGTATCTATCTATATACTGGGTATAATGTATCTATCTATATACTGGGTACAATGTATCTATCTATATACTGGGTACAATGTATCTATCTATATACTGGGTATAATGTATCTATCTATATACTGGGTACAATGTATCTATCATATACTGGGTATAATGTATCTATCTATATACTGGGTACAATGTATCTATCTATATACTGGGTATAATGTATCTATCTATATACTGTGGTACAATGTATCTATCTATACTGGGTATAATGTATCTATCTATATACTGGGTACAATGTATCTATCTATATACTGGGTATAATGTATCTATCTATATACTGGGTACAATGTATCTATCTATATACTGGGTATAATGTATCTATCTATATACTGGGTACAATGTATCTATCTATATACTGGGTATAATGTATCTATCTATATACTGGGTACAATGTATCTATCTATATACTGGGTATAATGTATCTATCTATATACTGGGTACAATGTATCTATCTATATACTGGGTACAATGTATCTATCTATATACTGGGTATAATGTATCTATCTACTGGGTACAATGTATCTATCTATATACTGGGTACAATGTATCTATCTATATACTGGGTATAATGTATCTATCTATATACTGGGTACAATGTATCTATCTATATACTGGGCACAATGTATCTATCTATATACTGGGTATAATGTATCTATCTATATACAGGGTATAATGTATCTATCTATCTATATACAGGGTACAGTGTATCTATCTATATACTGGGTACAATGTATCTATCTATATACTGGGTACAATGTATCTATCTATATACAGGGTACAGTGTATCTATCTATATACTGGGTACAGTGTATCTATCTATATACAGGGTACAGTGTATCTATCTATATACTGGGTATAATGTATCTATCTATATACAGGGTTAAATGTATCTATCTATATACTGGGTACAATGTATCTATCTATATACTGGGCACAATGTATCTATCTATATACTGGGTATAATGTATCTATCTATATACTGGGTATAATGTATCTATCTATATACTGGGTACAATGTATCTATCTATATACTGGGTATAATGTATCTATCTATATACTGGGTACAATGTATCTATCTACATACTGGGTATAATGTATCTATCTATATACTGGGTACAGTGTATCTATCTATATACTGGGTATAATGTATCTATCTATATACTGGGTACAATGTATCTATCTATATACTGGGTATAATGTATCTATCTATATACTGGGTACAATGTATCTATCTATATACTGGGTACAATGTATCTATCTATATACTGGGTACAATGTATCTATCTATATACTGGGTATAATGTATCTATCTATATACTGGGTACAATGTATCTATCTATATACTGGGTACAATGTATCTATCTATATACTGGGTATAATGTATCTATCTACTGGGTACAATGTATCTATCTATATACTGGGTACAATGTATCTATCTATATACTGGGTATAATGTATCTATCTATATACTGGGTACAATGTATCTATCTATATACTGGGCACAATGTATCTATCTATATACTGGGTATAATGTATCTATCTATATACAGGGTATAATGTATCTATCTATCTATATACAGGGTACAGTGTATCTATCTATATACTGGGTACAATGTATCTATCTATATACTGGGTACAATGTATCTATCTATATACAGGGTACAGTGTATCTATCTATATACTGGGTACAGTGTATCTATCTATATACAGGGTACAGTGTATCTATCTATATACTGGGTATAATGTATCTATCTATATACAGGGTTAAATGTATCTATCTATATACTGGGTACAATGTATCTATCTATATACTGGGTACAATGTATCTATCTATATACTGGGTATAATGTATCTATCTATATACTGGGTATAATGTATCTATCTATATACTGGGTACAATGTATCTATCTATATACTGGGTATAATGTATCTATCTATATACTGGGTACAATGTATCTATCTACATACTGGGTATAATGTATCTATCTATATACTGGGTACAGTGTATCTATCTATATACTGGGTACAATGTATCTATCTATATACTGGGTACAGTGTATCTATCTATATACAGGGTACAGTGTATCTATCTATATACTGGGTACAGTGTATCTATCTATATACAGGGTACAGTGTATCTATCTATATACTGGGTACAATGTATCTATCTATATACTGGGTACAATGTATCTATCTATATACTGGGCACAATGTATCTATCTATATACTGGGTATAATGTATCTATCTATATACTGGGTACAATGTATCTATATACTGGGTACAATGTATCTATCTATATACTGGGTATAATGTATCTATCTATATACTGGGTACAATGTATCTATCTATATACTGGGTACAATGTATCTATATACAGGGTACAATGTATCTATCTATATACTGGGTACAATGTATCTATCTATATACTGGGTACAATGTATCTATCTATATACAGGGTATAATGTATCTATCTATATACAGGGTACAGTGTATCTATATATGTACTGGGTATAATGTATCTATCTATATACTGGGTATAATGTATCTATCTATATACTGGGTACAATGTATCTATCTATATACTGGTATAATGTATCTATCTATATACTGGGTATAATGTATCTATCTATATACTGGGTACAATGTATCTATATACAGGGTACAATGTATCTATCTATAAACTGGGTATAATGTATCTATCTATATACTCGGTACAATGTATCTATCTATATACTCGGTACAATGTATCTATATACAGGGTACAATGTATCTATATACAGGGTACAATGTATCTATCTATAAACTGGGTGCAATGTATCTATCTATATACTGGGTACAATGTATCTATCTATATACTGGGTATAATGTATCTATCTATATACAGGGTATAATGTATCTATCTATATACTGGGTATAATATATCTATCTATATACTGGGTACAATGTATCTATCTATAAACTGGGTACAATGTATCTATCTATATACTGGGTAAAATGTATCTATCTATATACTGGGTACAATGTATCTATCTATATACTAGGTACAATGTATCTATCTATCTTTCCTGGCCATATCCATGGCAGCACAACACTGGGTAGCTCCTCCCCATCCCTAGTTAGACAGGAACTAATTAAAACAATTAGTTTTAATTCCTACCCTTAGTCTTTTTGTTCCTGTCCTATCTCTAGGACAGATTAGTCTTTTCAGACTGCGAACTATTTTTTTTTTTTTCTTATGGGTTACTTTAAGGGTTTTTACCCTTGGCCCCAGGGGAGTTAAGCCTCTCTTCCTTGGGAAGCTCCAGTATATGGCCCTGTGCAAAGGTGTCCCCCTGGAAAACCCCCCAGTGACTGGGGGAAGCTTGCAGTGACCCTAGGGGTAGCACCCTATTGACTGCAGTGACCCTAGGGGTAGCAGGTATGGGCAAGGCATAAGCAGTATGGATATACCCCCTTCTACCTTCATTTTACTGATTAATCTAGCCTTCTCTGATTTGGAGGCATTCCTCCTCTTGATTCAGCAGTTCTCTGCCCGGTGTTTATTCTCCCTTCTGGGGAAGTACAGGGCTTCCCTGGTGATCTAGGGTTCCCCCTGTGTCTATTCGCTGCATTTTTGCCACATTTCTGGCGGTCTGCAGAGGTTGGGAGACCTGGGGTCTCCTTGCTGGCTTGGCGTCCAGTTTTCGCCATTGCGCATGCGTGAACAGTGCGTTCGCGTCATGCCGTTTTCATGCATGCGCGGAAGTGCCGGTTGCACATGCGTGGTACGTTGCGGTTCCGATGACGTAATTCAGTAGTTTGGGCACCCTTTTAAAAGCGCCAATACTGAAATGTAACTTTCCAATACAGTCCCTTGCTAACTTAAAGCTGAAGGTAAGTCTTTTAAAGGCACAGTTGGTCTATTTTTTTTTTTATTTTTTTTTTATTCAGTTGATGTTTTCTGAACCTTATTTTTAAGCCTTATAGTATTTTATGGGCTTAATTTTTATAGATGATTTCATCTGAGATCATGGATTCAGACTCATCAGTTCAAAGTAAAAGGTCACTATCTAAATCTCAGGGGTAAGCCATTTCCCATATTTTTTTCTTCCATTTTTCTTCTAAACAAAAGAGTGCTGGCTAATATTTTCCCTTATTATAGTAGTACTAAAGGGAAAAAGACAACTGGAACATCCAAAGAAAAGTCTCCCGCAAGGTCCTTATGCGAAGCATGTGACAAGAGGGCCCTGGAGGGGAAGCGCCTATGCTCAGATTGCCTACAGGCCGCAGGATGTCCCGCATCATCCACCCCGGTTTTGATGCAAATTATTCAGAATGCTGTATCCCAAGGCAGATATCCAGATCCTCCCGACTACTCACAATACGACTCTTCCGATGTTTCTATGGAGGAGACATACAGGGAGAGGTCATCTTCCTCGGATGAGGAAAAACAGCACGCTCCTGACACTTTGGACCCAACCGAAGTGGATCACTTAATTTCCAGGGTCCGCAAGTCTCTGAGCATGAAGGAACCTTCAAGAGAAGAGCCTTCTACATCCAGTCGATACTTTTCTGACCTCTGAAAAAAGAGGGCTACTTTCCCGGTTCATGAGGCGATTAAGGGCATCATTATGGAAGAATGGTCCAAAACAGAGAGGAAACTCCCCAATCAAGGGAGAATTTCTCGCCTTTACCCTTTTGACAAACAGGACGCAGGCCACTGGAAGTCAGCCCCTAAAGTGGATGCTGCGGTGGTAAGACTGACCAAGAGCACCACATTGCCAGTGGATAATGCAGGATCTCTAAGAGACTCCATGGATAAGAAGATGGACTCTAACCTGTCCAGGGCCTATGTGGCAGCAGGCACAGGTCTCCACCCCGCGGTAGCCCTTACCTCGGTCTCCAGAGCTTTGAAGATCTGGCTGGAAGGCTTGGAGCAGGATATCAAAGAGGGCAGAAGCAGATCTAACCTCGTGGGCAAACATTAATAGATTTCACTACTGAAGCCTCAGTGGATATGGTCAAAGCAGTGGCCAGGAACATGGAATTTTCCATCTCAGCTAGAAGGCCTTTGTGGCTCAGATCCTGGTCAGCAGATGCCTCATCTAAGAATAGCCTCTGCTCTTTACCGTTCTATGGAGACATGCTCTTTGGTAAGAACCTGGATGACTGCATTAAGAAAGCAGCAGATGGCAAGAATGCTTTTTTGCCTCAAGATCGTAGGCCTAAGAGATCTTTTCAACCCAAAAGACCTTCAGATCAATCTTCCTTTCGGGACTTCAAATCCTACAGACCAGGTAGAGAATACGGAAGATCCCAGCCTTGGAGAGGGGGACAGTCTTCAGTCAGGGGAGGAAGATCCAGAGGCTCCGAATTCAGCAGGAACACGAGAGCTTTATGACGGGTTGATCTCCCTGCCTGGAGGGGTAGGAGCACGCCTCCTCCTATTCCAAAAGAGATGGGAGTCTTCTACCAAAGACAAGTGGGTGATGGACATCATCAGAAGAGGATATCTTCTGGAATTCAGAGATGCCCCACCTCGTCGCAGTTTTCAAACTACAAGATGGCCGGGAGACAGAGACAAGAGGTTGGCTTTTCTGGAGTTTATTTCTTCCCTACAGCAAGAAGGCGTCATTATGGAGGTTCCAAAGGAGGAAAGAACACACAAGTTTTATTCTCATCTATTCCTCACAAAGAAGTCCTCAGGAGCATGGAGAGCCATTCTAGATCTTGACATTCTCAACAAGCGATTGAACGTAAGAACATTAAAAATGGAGTTGCTCCAGTCCATCATCAAAGCAGTCTTCCCAGGGCAATGGCTGATGTCTGTAGATCTGCAAGATGCCTACTTCCATGTTCCGATCGCTCAACTGCATCAAAGATATCTGAGATTCGCAGTAGAAGGAGGGCACTCCCAGTTCCGATCCCTTCTCTTTGGCCTCAGTACGGCTCCTCGCACTTTCTCAAAGATCCTGGTGATCCTGATCGCAGAATTAAGAGAGAGGGGCATTGCCATTTTTCATTATCTGGACGACATCCTGGTGCTGTCAGAGGACAGGTACACTCTCAAGCAACAGGGACAGATCTGCATTCAGTTCCTGCAGGAACACGGCTGGAAGATAAATGGTAGCACATATCAATCATCAAGGAGGTACCCGAAGTCGCAGTATGGTCAGGTTGATGACTCCCCTGATGTCTTGGGCACAGAAGAACCATGCGGGGCTAGTGGCAATTCGTCTGCCATGAGTGCAGAATACGGTAGCAGACTTCCTCAGCAGGGTAAGAATAGACCCAGGAGAGTGGAGCCTCTCAGACGAAGTCTTCAAGGATATTGTGAAGAAATGGGGTCTTCCTCAGATAGACATCATGGCCACCAACAACAACAAGAAGCTCCAGGGATTCTTCTCGAGGGGTCACGAACCGCAGGCCTGGGAGAGGGATACCCTATCATGCAGTTGGGAGTTCACAAAGGGGTATGCATTTCCTCCGACTCCCCTCATATTTCCTCTACTACGAAGGATTTGTCAGGAACCAGTTTTCATGATCCTGATTGCCCCATACTGGCCTCGCCGGCCTTGGTTCCCTCTTCTTCTGAGCCTCTGTCAGGAACCTCCGTGGGATCTTCCAGCAGTTCCTTCTCTTCTGCACCAGGGTCCTATCCTACACCCAGACCCAGCATCACTTAACCTGAAGGCCTGGAGGTTGAAAGGGAAAGGCTTCTAGAGAAGGGTTTCTCGGATACAGTCATAGATACCCTGTTACAGGCTCAGAAGCGGTCCACTTCCTCTACCTACTATAGAATTTGGGATGCTTTTTCTTCCTGGACCTCTCCTAAGCAGGTTAACATTCAGCATCCTGCTATTAAAGACATCTTGGAGTTTCTACAATCAGGTCTGGATAAGGGTTTGAGCTACAATACCTTAAAGGTACATGTCTCCGCTCTTTCAGCTCTCACTGACCACAAATGGGCCTTTAATCCAGATGTATCCAGGTTTCTTGCTGCAGTCCTCAAGATTAAACCTCCGATCAAGCCATTTGCTCCCCCATGGGATCTACCCCTGGTATTACAAGCCATGAAGGTAGCTCCCTTCGAACCCTTGGAGTCCATCTCTCCTCATCTTCTTACCATCAAGACCGTTTTGCTGGTGGCATTAGCATCAGGGAGAAGGGTTTCGGAGCTCAGTGCCTTATCAGTCAAAGAGCCTTTCACGGTGTTTCACAGAGACAGGGTGATTTTAAGAACCATTCCCGAATTTTGCCCTAAGGTAACCACGGCCTTTCATGTTAATGAAGACATAGTGCTTCCAGCCCTGACGCAAGAAGAACATTCCCAAGAAGGAGGTTCTTCTCCGCTGGATTTGGTAAGATGTTTAAGAATCTATATTGACAGATCTCTTGGCTGGCGTTCGTCGGATCAGCTACTCATCATTCCGAATGGGGCTAAGAAAGGTCGCCATGCTTCTAAAAAGGCCGTGAGCAGATGGATTGTCTCCGCTATCATTCAAGCTTACCTTGCCAGTGGGGTTCCAGTACCTAGCAGTCTAAAGGCTCACTCGACCAGGTCCCTTTCCTCCTCTTGGGCAGCCGCAGCGAGAGTATCTCGAGAGCTTGTCTGCAGAGCAGCTACATGGTCATCGGTGAACACCTTTATTCGACATTATCAAGTAGATGTCAGAGCTGGTCAATGGGACAAGTTTGGTAAAAGTGTCCTTTCAACATCCAACTAATGTCTTTCTTTTTGTATGATTTCACTTATAGATGTGCTAATACATTTGCATTACGAAATATTTTGAGTCTGTGTATTCTTTTCCCTCCCTTGGTTTTGCTTGGGTATTACCCATTGTTGTGCTGCCATGGATATGGCCAGGAAAGAGGAAAATGTATTTATACTTACCGCAATTTTCTTTTCCTGGTCATAGGCCATGGCAGCACAAAGATCCCGCCCAGGGATTTTTGCTGGAATACAAGAGGGGGTACTTATACCCTTGTTTTAATTAGTTCCTGTCTAACTAGGGTTGGGGAGGAGCTACTCATTGTTGTGCTGCCATGGCCTATGACCAGGAAAAGAAAATTACGGTAAGTATGAATACATTTTCCTCTATATACTGGGTACAATGTATCTATCTATATACTGGGTATATATGTATTTATATCTATCTATATCTATATATATATATATATATGTACAGTGTATTTATATACATACTGGGTACAATGTATCTATGTATTACATGTATTAATAAATTGTTGTATGACATTTGACAGAGATTTTGGGAAAGATGCAAAAAATGTTCAGTTCTAAAAAAAAGTGGTGCAAAAAAATAAAAGGGAGGCATCACCAACGGGATGTGCCTGCTGGTTCCACTGGTTTACATGGCAATCGCCCCACTCTAAAGGGACACTATAGGCAACCAGACCACTTCAGCTCAGTGTCTACCAGACAGCCACTAGAGGGACTTCCACGCATCTGGGTATGCGCATTGGATCACTCACATCGTCGGGGGAGGAGTAAAGGCAGACCCAAGCCAGCACCGAGGGACCTTGATGGAGTGGGAAGCTATAGTGCTAGAAAAACATGTTTTTTCCCCGGTATTATAGTTCCCCTTTAAGCACTTTAGATCACTTTTAGAACAGAACACTTTGATAAAGCTTCCCCATTAAAATGGTACTAAATTAATAAGGGCACATCAACGAGGTTCATAATGGAACAGATTTCAATATTACCATTTATTTTAATCTGTACAGCATTTGTTTTATTCTTATTTTTTAATGGTAAATAAAATATGTCTACATAAAGCATGGGCATGACTTACCTTGGAGTTATTATGGTGATTTATTATGGTGATTATAGTGCCAAATGGCTATTTAGCATATTATTTATGGAGTTAATGAATTAAATTAAATATTAAATATTTCAAATAAATGAATATATATATATATAAAAATATATTTTTGCCCAGATCCCAGGTTCATTTATATTTCTTGCTAAAAACGTTATGTTTTATGTTTCTAATTTTTAGTTTCATATTTATGACTTTTCGTTGTTTTCTGTAAACAATTATAAAATCTTCAATACAATTTTAATAAAACCAAAAAAACTGTATGTTTGTCTCTGTCTAGGTTTTAGAGTGACACTCGCAGAAAAGGCAGCATGCTTGTCAGTCAGAGGATTCGACCCCGTTGCAGGGAAGTGAGAGGACCAGACCCTCACTCTGTGGCTGTGGTAAGTCACTGTACTTCTTATAGGCCACGTTATTCAAGGGATGAAGCCATTTAAATGGATGCACCTCATTGCTGTGTCTCTGTAAAGGCTAATGTTGCATTTCAGGGCTTCGCACATAGTTACAAATTGTTCAGGTAGACCTTCATACTTAGCACTGATATACTACAAGGAGCACTTCATATGAATGTTTTGTTCCATGATTTACAGAATGTACAAGAAAGTGAACAACTAAACTCCCTGCAAATCAAGAAAATATTATCATGTACCAAAATTAAAAAAAATATGTCAGAATATATTTTAAAAAAAATGTAACCTATACAGACTTGTAGTCAAAAGCAAAAATGAAAGATACCTGTACTCTATCCCAGGCACTGGAATAATGTAAGCGGGAGGGGGATTCTGAGGATGGGGCACCTCAGGGCACTATAGTGTCAGGAAAACCGCTATGTTTTCCTGACACTATAGTGATCCTTTAATGAGTCAAGAATTCAAAATGAATTTAAAATTTAAGGCCATAGTATTTAAACTGGAAACATAGGTTAATTTGGTCATTTGACTTTAAATAGAAACATAGAATGTGATGGCAGATAAGAACCATTCAGCCCATCTAGTCTGCCCAATTTTCTAAATACTTTCATTAGTCCCTGGCCTTATCTTATAGTTAGGATAGCCTTATGCGTATCCCACGCATGCTTAAACTCCCTTACTGTGTTAACCTCTTCCTGGAAGGCTATTCCATGCATCCACTACCCTCTCAGTAAAGTAATACTTCCTGATATTAGTTTTAAACCTTTGCCCCCCTAATTTAACACTATGTCCTCTTGTTGTGGTAGTTTTTCTTCTTTTAAATATGGTCTCCTCCTTTACTGTGTTGATTCCCTTTATATATTTAAATGTTTCTATCATATCCCCCCTGTCTCGTCTTTCCTCCAAGCTATACATGTTAAGATGCTTTAACCTTTCACTTTGAATTCCCAAAAGTTCTCACATTAGCGAATAATGCTGATATATGTAATGCTGATTGTTTAATTTAGTTTATGGAATTCCTGTTTAGGGGGGGGGGGGAGAATTGAGGAAGTTTCTTAAAAAATATGACAATTGTAATTGAAATTAAATTTACGTGGAAATTGCATCATACTATTGTTTATTTTTCTTTCCAGAAAGCCAAGTTACCTTCGCGACGACAAATTGATCATTTCATTCTTGAGAACAGGCGTCAAAATGAGGTTCGGGACCAGTTGCTTGCTTATACCAAGTATAATAAATTTGAATTAATGAAGAACAAATGGGAAAAAACCACAGACTATAAAATAATGCACAACACCGTTCAGAGAAAGGTCTATGAGACAATGGAGGAATACCGGATGCATATTGAGGAGAGACGGGACAGGTGACAAAATGGCCTCTTTGTATCAATATCCTATTTTAGTAAAACGCAGTATTCCATACCGAGCAGAAAATTAAGGTGGATATAACAGGAGATCATTCTCATGACATGTTAGCTCAGTTTCCATCAACCTACGATTAGTCACAATTTAGCATCTTAGGTTATGTTAAAATATATTTTTCTATAATAAGAGTGCATTAAAGAATGAACCCATTCCTATTATTGCTTAAAATCCCTACTAGTAAGTACCCCAAGGACATATACTCATTTGGAAATCAAATCAGTGGTTCACCTGATTTTTAATATATACGCAAAAAATATCTTAACAAGACCTGGCCCTATGACTAATTCCTGAGGGATATCATTAGTACATAATCTTTGCTATGAAAGCTTACCATTTATCACTGCACATTGTCATCTGTCTTCTAGCCAATTCTTTATTCATTCTATAATCCACACACACAGAGTTCTTAAATATGCATGTTCTATTAGGAAGATTCACTGTACATTGTAAACATATTAATGACATCTCCAGCAAAGGGTGTAGGGAAATCCTCTGTTTCTTGTCAAATCAATTGAAATATGTATGACAAAACTATAGGGACTGCACCAATAGCCATTTGGCACTATAATCACTACAAAAAGTTAGAAGTTAGGATATGTGGAGTGTCCCTTTTATGTTCCTACTAGGACTCAGCTGCAAACCTCATGCAGAGCCTGGGTCCCACACACACCAGCATATAGCTCCCAAGACTCTCAGCTGCAAGCCTCATGCAGAGGTAGCTCTCTTGGATGGCTTCCCGCCCACCCCTCCCCACCCCAAGTTTCTCATTACATTTATAGATAGGACAAATTACCTGACAGTCCAAACACTGTGTCTCTCAAACACTCATCACCTGCTTAATTATCACACTCCTGGCCTTTTAACCACTCACACCTCTCTTGTAACTCTTCTTTTAAAATGTTCTCCCTCATATTCTTTATCTTCAACCTCACTTCTCTCATTGCCAAAATATCTCTGTCATTCTGCATACCTGTTCCTGCTGACACCATTTTCATTGCTCCCACACTACTTCCTTCCCCTCTTTATTCATCCCTCCCTTGTTTATTCATCCCATGCACTCCACTTGTACCTTTCCAACTTATCTCCACCATCTCCTTCTAAATCCTCAAAATATATGTTTACATAGAAACATAGAAACATAGAAACATAGAATGTGACGGCAGATAAGAACCAATTCGGCCCATCTAGTCTGCCCAATTTTCTAAATAATTTAATTAGTCCCTAGTCTTATCTTATAGTTAGGATAGCCTTATGCCTATCCCATGCATGCTTAAACTCCTGTCACTGTGTTTACGGCTGCTATCTATAAACACTGATTTATTTATTACAGTTATCAAAACTGATTATATATTTCTCTTGCTAACCTAGACTCAAGTCCTTGCTGGAAAAGGAAGAGGTGGAACAGATCAAGGAAATGGAGTCTATGGAGGAAACCACTGTGGAAAGACAAGCCAAAATGAGGGAAAGAGTCAAGAGTCTGAGAGAAAGAAGAGAGAATGAAAGATTGGCCTTAGTTGCTGAGAAGCGCGACCAGCAATTCAGGTAAATAGATTTGCTTCTGAAACTTATGGAACTCAGCAGTTATCTCTTAACTTGTAAAATTAGTTTGACTTGTGGCTCAAAAAGGATGAAAGGTGATAAACCAACATCTGTGCCAGACGTTGTTTCTTGGAAGCCTAAAAGTAGGATATGCACTTCTATACAACCAACCTCCGTCCAAGCAGGCTAGTGGAGATTACAATTCATCTAGGTAGAGAATACCAGTACAGGGGCTGTTCAAAGTGTCGTACCAAAGGTATAAGAAACATTTGTCAACAGTTCTTTAGGACAGATCTGGTAACAAAGGTTCAGTTCTAAAGGGCAGAGCAGGCAACATGCTTCCAAATCAATAAGAATAGTCAGGAGTCTAAAAATGAAAATCAGATACAAGGAGTAAAATGACAATCAAAACCAGATAAACTCTGCGAATGGCACAGACGTTGTAACAACTGAGAACTGTTGGTCTCTCCGGGTTTTATACAGGAGGGAGAAGAAAAACAAGGAGATAGATATATTATAGTTCATTCAATTATTTAGATAATGTTTTACAAGAATAATACAGTAATTGTACCCTCATTTTCACACATGGCACTATAATTACACTGTAAATCTCTTCAAAGGAACTCTCCTGGCACCATAACAACTGCATATCAATGAAGTCGTTATGGTACCTGGAGGTCCTGGGGACCATCTCACCTTGAGGGGTTAAACCGTTTACAATTAGTTTAAACCCGAAGTTGTGCAACTGGCACCCGTCAGCTTGACCCTTTTCCATTGCTTGTGATTTTTTTTCTTGCATTTACATAGAGCACTACCTGAGGCTGATACTACATATCATTTTTGCATTAAAAAAAAAAGTTCAGTTTTCTCTTAATAGTAATTATTTTGGACTAAAAGGCAAGGTCTTATGTGCACCGGATATTCACACAGTATTCATTGGGGACATGATTACAATTAAAACACTAATAAATTAGAACAGATTATGAATACCCTCATATTTCAGTACATGTTGGACTTTGATAAATCTTGTGTCTAGTCTGACATGTATTTAGAGGAAGTCAAAGAAGAAAGGTCCAGGAACTCCAAGGTTTTAAATAGGCAAATTTATTAGACCCAAATGTCCAACAAAGTTTATTTTTCAAGCTTCGAGCAAGGTGCAAGAGAGTACTGAGAATGGAAAACAGGTCAAATAACCTGCCCTTCAGTGGGTCATTCTCAGATGTCATGCTAGTTTTCGCTCATCTTGTGCCATTACAAAAAGAACCAGGACGATTTGCATATTAGACTGATTCCACCCAAAAGTGCGGTCCAGAACCCGAATGCAAGCCAGCTCTCTTTGCACGAGAGATACAGCAACCCCAGAAGATTCATTGCCTTGTTATGCATTGTCAGTGAGGTATAGCTGATATCTTTCTAGGCACCGTGAGCAAGGGGCCTATGTCTGGACTACCCTTTAAACTTAGGGAGAACAAAAAAGCTATCATCTGGAGTTGCTGTATCTCTTGTGCAGAGAAAGAGCTGCCTGCATTTCGGTCCTGGACCGCCCTTTTGAGTAGAATCAGTCTGATGTGCAAATGGTCGTGGTAATGGCACAAGATGAGCTAAAACAAGCTTAAGATCTGAGTGGGAACCTCAGTTCTCTCTTGCACCTTGTTTTTTTGCTGTCTTTATAATTGTTTATAATTTTTCAATGTATATTACTTATTTAAATGTTTTCAGGGACCAGTGTGAGGAGCTGCGTTCTCTAAGGTCCCAAATTACCCAGAATGAGGTGTGCACAGAGAGAATGGCTCAGCTCATACTTAAAGATGAACTGAATAGGCAACGCAAAGAAGAGGATGACCTCTTTGCTGAGCTTTGGGAAAAGGATCGAATGGCCAAAGAGAAGCGTGAGGAGAAGGACAGCCAAAGACAACGGAAACTCAACCGGGAAATGTCAGATGTGCTTCAAGCCCAAAGAGCTGCTTCTGAAGCACAGAAGATAGAGGGAAAGCGGCTTAAAGCTGAGGAAGCTCAGTTACTGGTAACAACTAATGATATACGGTTTCCTGTTGGTTTATATGTCATTATGATTTTTCTGCAACAAATTAAAGTGGCTCTGTCACTTTGTCTGGGGTATTTGCATATTTTGAGATCAAGTATACAGTTGCAAGAAAAAGTATGTGAACCCTTTGGAATGATATGGATTTCTGCACAAATTGGTCATAAAATGTGATCTGGTCATCATCTAAGTCACAACAATAGACAATCACAGTCTGCTTAAACTAATAACACACAAAGAATGAAATGTTGCCATGTTTTTATTGAACACACCATGTAAACATTCACACTGCAGGTGGAAAAAGTATGTGAACCCTTGGATTTAATAACTGGTTGAACCTCCTTTGGCAGCAATAACTTCAACCAAACGTTTCCTGTTGTTGCAGATCAGACGTGCACAACGGTCAGGAGTAATTCTTGACCATTCCTCTTTACAGAACTGTTTCAGTTCAGCAATATTCTTGGGATGTCTGGTGTGAATCGTTTTCTTGAGGTCATGCCACAGCATCTCAATCAGGTTGAGGTCAGGACTGGGCCACTTCAGAAGGCGTATTTTCTTCTGTTTAAGCCATTCTGTTGTTGATTTACTTCTATGCTTTGGGTCATTGTCCTGTTGCAACACCAATCTTTTGTTGAGCTTCAGCTGGTAGACAGATGGCCTTAAGTTCTCCTGCAAAATGTCTTGATAAACTTGGGAATTCATTTTTCCTTCGATGATAGCAATCCGTCCAGGCCCTGACGCAGCAAAGCAGCCCCAAACCATGATGCCCCCACCACCATACTTCACAGTTGGGATGAGGTTTTGATGTTGGTGTGCTGTGCCTTTTTTTCACCACACATAGTGTTGTGTGTTTCTTCCAAACAACTCAACTTTGGTTTCATCTGTCCACAGAATATTTTGCCAGTACTGCTGTGGAACATCCAGGTGCTCTTGTGCAAACTGTAAATGTGCAGCAATGTTTTGTTTGGACAGCAGTGGCTTCCTCTGTGGTATCCTCCCATGAAATCCATTCTTGTTTAGTGTTTTACGTATTGTAGATTCGCTAACAGGGATGTTAGCATTTGCCAGTGACTTTTGTAAGTCTTTAGCTGACACTCTAGGATTCTTCTTCACCTCATTGAGCAGTCTGCGCTGTGCTCTTGCAGTCATCTTTACAGGACGGCCACTCCTAGGGAGAGTAGCAGCAGTGCTGAACTTTCTCCATTTATAGACAATTTGTCTTACCGTGGACTGATGAACAGCAAGGCTTTTGGAGATACTTTTATAACCCTTTCCAGCTTTATGCAAGTCAACAATTCTTAATCGTAGGTCTTCTGAGAGCTCTTTTGTGCAAGGCATCATTCACATCAGGCAATGCTTCTTGTGAAAAGCAAACCCAGAACTGGTGTGTGTTTTTTATAGGGCAGGGCAGCTGTAACCAACACCTCCAATCTCATCTCATTGATTGGACTCCAGTTGGCTGACATCTCACTTCAATTAGCTCTTGGAGATGTCATTAGTCTAGGGGTTCACATACCTTTTCCACCTGCACTGTGAATGTTTACATGGTGTGTTCAATAAAAACATGGCAACATTTCATTCTTTGTGTGTTATTAGTTTAAGCAGACTGTGATTGTCTATTGTTGTGACTTAGATGATGATCAGATCACATTTTATGACCAATTTGTGCAGAAATCCATATCATTCCAAAGGGTTCACATACTTTTTCTTGCAACTGTGTGTGTGTATATATATATATATATATATATATATATATATATATATATACAGACACACATATATATATATAGACCTTAAAACCACCTGCCTAATATTGTGTAAGTTCCCCTCATGCTGCTAAAACAGTTTGGATTAAGCATGGACTCTACAAGACCTCTGAATGTGTCCTGTGGTATCTGACACCAAGAAATGGTATTATTTGGCCACCAGCGCGACCCCCATTTATGCATGTTAAGGTGAGTGGAGCCAACCCCTCTTGTTTTATATATATATATATATATATATATATATATTTGGGAGTGTAGCCAACTCCTTGGTTTTGCACCCCTCCCTGTCACAGGTGCCTCATCCCAGGGCCCTATTTAGCCTTGTACTGCAGAGAGCCCCAGATGGAATTTTTTTCCCCAAGTAGGTTAATCTCATAAGAGCAGACATTAGGCTGTTAGTGTAGGACCTGCCAAAGATGGGGTACATTGACGTTGTGGCAGGCTTATGCAATGTATGATCATATAATGTAACTAAACCCCCATTATTTTTGCCTAGATTAGGTGTTTTTAAAAAACAAATAAAATCTTTCAACATTGAAGTTGCTGTTTAGTGGATAGGTGAGTGCGCTGGATCTTGTGTAATATATATATATATATATATATACTGACCTTAAAACCACCTGCTTAATATTGTGTAAGTTCCCCTCGTGCTGCTAAAACAGTTTGGATTAAGCATGGACTCTACAAGACCTCTGAATGTGTCCTGTGGTATCTGACACCAAGAAATTAGCAGCACGTTCTGCTAGTTGGGAGGTGGGGCCTCCAATGATCGGATTTGTAACTTAATCTGATGAATGTTTGGGTATTTAACTGAAACATCGATTTTAGTTTTTGAACAATAATAGCTTTTAAGTTTGCATAAGTCCAGAGAGTGCTATCTGGATTTTGAGTTTTATATATATATATATAATTTCCTCCTTCAATTCATCTAGCAGATGCTGGTACTTTACATCCATGGAGCATACAGGACCCATTTAATACCCATAAATCATTTGACACACATATGCAGAACACAAATGATACCCACATTGCATTCAGTAAATAAAAATACATATTATACAGGACATTGATCAAAACAATAGCCTCCAGTGCCTACCGGCATGCACTATACAATACTCAGCATGTAGTTAGAAATATTCTACAAATATTATTCCTCTTAGAAAAGGATGGGAACGCTGTAGCTCACGTTTGTCTATGTTACATAGTAGCAGATCATTGTTTTTTTTTATGAACCAGTTATAAAATAGAAGCTTGAAATTGCTTGATACAGCTCGAATTAGTGTATTTCCATATATTGTTTATTATATTTTGACATACCACAGTATTAGATTCTCCTTGTTGGGACTACGTTTCTCATTCATGTATTGGTATGCTCTGAACTTTTGCCCTGAGTCCCAACTCCCAACATCCTTCACAAGTTGTATCTTCGTTGGCCAAGAAAGAGAGACTCCTGGCTGGGTTGTTTTGCTGCCTTTAACCAACTACTCTCTGTTAGCCCTTTGCTTTGTGTGTTTTTTGTTATAAATATAAGATCAGCTATACATTTGAATCCACAGAGAAGTTGATAGGTTAGGTGTGTGCGATATGTAAATGTTGTGTTTTGGGTGCAGGAGGAGCAGCGATGTTTAATAAAGATGGAGGATGAGCGGGCCTTGCATGAAAAGCTCCAGAAGCAAGCACATGTGAGAAACGTGTTGGACAAATCCGTCCGTCTAAAGATGAAGCATCTTGCTCAAGACCAACAAGAGGAGCTAGCACTTGACATGAAGATCATGGATCAAATCATGCAAGACACTCATGATGATACCAAGGAGAAAAATCTTAGAAAGGTAACACATTCATGCTCTGTAATTTTAGTACAGTTTTATAGTCTCACATCTGTAAGAATAATGGTCATATATATCAGTAGTGGCTTGTAGGTGGCTCCCGCTGTTGTTAAATTACAACACCTATGATGCTTTGCCACTGAATAACAGAAATAGAGGTACCTAATGGACACCCCTTAGTTTGCTTCCAGTAGTAAAATGAATGAAATTGTATTCATTGCTGTGAATTTAATGACATGTAATATGTTTATGATAGATGCTAAATAAACACATGATAAAATATGTCTGCCATATTTTCGGCCATTCATTATGGGGGCACTCTATTCACCTAATTTCAAGGGCTAATTGTGTGTTATAATATAAAAGTGCTAATTTTAAGGGAAATCAGCATTTATAAATCCTCCTTAATAACACTTTGACAACTAGGAAGGTTTCCACACTCATTTGTCTCCTAAGAAATATGTATATGAATTATTTTTGTAGGTTTTAACTTTTTTTTTTATATATGATGTTTGGTCTACTTGTAGCTGGAGCTTCAGAAAGAGCAACAGGTGTACCGGGAATACCTGGCCCAACAGCTAGAAGAAGAGAAGCGACAGGAGAAGGAAATGGACAAACTGATTGAGGCAGAATTGGAAAAATCCTGGGCTAAGCGGACAGCACAACTAAGACTGGAGAAAGAGGCCAGAAACCGCCTGATGAAGGATGTCTTGGACACACGCCGACTTCAGATTCAAGAGAAGTGTAAGAAATCATTTGTTGGGTTTTAACAATCTGAGTGGTATCATGCTTTAAAGGGACACTCCAGTCATACTGTGGCACCAACATAACTCAAGTGCATTTAATAGATCTTAGCCTCATATGTCTACTGTGTTTTTCTTCACATTCAAATTTCATCAGTTTTGCTTAAAAAAGAAAAGAAAAAGTTTTCCGCATAACCATGTACATTTTGTTACGATCTTTCCTTTCACCAAGCAACTTCCTAATTAGATATATTTTGAGTACGTAGCTGGAAGTTGAGCTGTTGACATCACTCCGCAGTCCGCCCCATAGCCAATCAATATCCTCTTATTATTTGTACCCATTCCCTTTAGCATGGCGTATTAGAAGGTGATAAAGTTAACTCAGCAGCTTACTACTACACTAATCTCTCATTGGGTGAGCCGAGTATGTACTCAAAAGACATCTACTTTGTGAAAGAGGGTTCCTTGCTAAAATGTTTGCTGTAGAAAGCTGCAAACATTTCTCTTATTTTTCAGCAAAACTAAAGAGATTTGAACAAGAAGAAAGATGCAGCATGAGTATGAGACCAAAATCTATCAGTTCTTATTCACTGCACATTGCATAAATTATTTTTTTTTTTTTAAACCAGGCAGCAAACACTTTTAAACAAATATAGAAACTATATTTCACTACCGGCTCCCAGACCACTTCATCTCATGCATAAGGACAACTAACAGCTTCAATTTCCCATAGGAAAGCATTGATTCAATGTTTTGAATCAAGCTTCAGTGCTGCGCATGCGCATTTAGTTCCGTCACTGGGAGAAGACCTAGCATGCGCCGAGGGAGCCTTGGCACTGGAACTAAAGTAACAAAAAGTTTTTTAACCCTTTACTTACCGGGGTTAAAGGGCATCCAGATCATACAACACAGTGTGTTTACCTTAGAAGTTATTATCTCCTGCTCTGTTAACTGAACTTTAAACATACATATGAGGCTGTTGGCATGCTCTAGCATGCTATTAATAGAGCAGGAGATAAGACGTTTAAACTAAACACACTGTGCAAAAAAGGAAGTTAATACAGTTAGACAGTTTTTTCAGGGAGATTTACCTAGCACTGCATAAACAGGGTGATTTAACTCTTAAATGGCAAATTATTAAGCAGTGAGACTACAGGGTCATAATCTATACACCAAAAGCAATTACAAAAACTAGAGTTTTCTGGTGCTTAGAGTATTCCATAAAAAAATACAATTTCACAGCTTCACTTTAATAAGCTATTGGTTTGTGCAAAAAGTCTCATTAGTGATGATTATTCTTTAAATATCTTCTCCAAGTTAAGCTGTGCCCTGTATCAGCCCATTCCATCTTGTGTGGTTTATAAAGGATAGTTATGTGATATGCTCACAGAGCTTGTTTCTACAAATGCTCTGAAAATGTCACTTGTAATTTCTTGCAATGTGTAATGGCCCCTTTGAGGTCTTGCATTAATCTGCAGAAACTAAATCATTTGACATGTTATTATTCTTGTCCATCTGCAAAAAAATTTCTTGTTTCCCGGCATCATACACAAAGCTGACAGTGATTATGTTAGCGATTTTGTCAGAATATGTTGGCGCTTTATAAATGCCAAAAAACAAAAAAGTTAATATAAATATAGTCTGTGATTACAATATTGTGTAAAAAGTTGTGTTTTACCTTTAAAGCAGCACTGTAACATCCTTCCCCCTGAAAAATTAGTATTTTGTAAAGATAGAATCTTTATGAAACTCATCTTGACTTTGTTGGAGTTTCACTAAAATCCCAACCAAGTCAAAAGATATACTGAGACAAAGTAGGGACTACATTGTTTCACTATTTCTCCTACGCCTTACACAGCTTGACATTGGGCAGAGCTACCGACGTTAAGTAGTGTTGATCCCCCAGCCATCACCATAAATGGCTGCAGGGAAATTAGCTCTATGGAGAATCCTGTGAAACCGCTGAATCCTCCATGGCCCTCACGGCTGTACTCTCACTGAAGCGCCAGGAGCAGAAGAGAACCGGCAGGTGATGATGGCGGCACCTGCGAGGGCCAGCTGACCTACCAGCGGTGATGTCACCGGTGGGGGTGTTTGCAAATTATGCAGCGTCCCCAGACGGTGATAGATCCACTTTAATAATATATGTGAGACTTCTGTCAGTTCATGAATACCTTTGTTTCTCAGTTCTCAAAAGCTAAAGCCTTTAAATGAAAATACTGCAGACATCCTTCACATATTCTTTGTTGTACTAAATTACCTGTAAAATTGCAGGAGGGTTGTTTATGTCCTTCTCCAAGTTTCTTATTACTTATGAAGCCAGATAGGGTGTGGGTGGAGAATTTGAAAGGAGAAATTAATTAATGGCCGCAGGAACAATTATAAAATATTTTAAATCTTAAAACATCTAGCCTACTTACACAATTGGCTGAAATAACCTTTATTTATCTAACAGGATTGTTGTTTTTTGTTTAAAAGTTATTTTTTTATTTCCTTTAATATGTTACTCCATGGTGCTTACACAATTAGCTGACATATTTATTTCGAAGCTCAATTCAATGTCTTAAGAGATGGTGAGGTGACTTCCAGTAAGCTACCCCAAATTAATCATTTCTGTTTTTACATATGATATATAGCCAAATTGCTGTACCGTGCATTGCAATTCAGTTTCAGATTATTTTATCACTGTTAAGTAAATTACCCATAATTGCCCTTACTTTTACTTGAAGCTATTTCAAATATAAGCCAAAAACTGCTATTCACTTGGCAGAAAGGTGTTGGCGAGATTTGTCATATCCCTATTCTCAAAATACATGCACCTACTGATCTACACAGTCCTGTCCGGTTTTTGAGGAAAGGGAAAGCAAATAAAAGTTTTTCCTCTGTCAAATACTTTGGCTCTGTTATGGCATTATAAGACAGGGATAACAAATAGAGATTGCAGATCTGAGGTCACTGTGAAGATACCTCTGATCAGTGGAGCAGATAATTTCATTTTGTAGGCCAATCAGGTTGAAGTTTAAATAAAGCCCCGCCCCCTACCAATATATCAAATGTGTTGTTGTTTCGAAAATGGCATGAATCTTTCATTACTTAATTGTCAATGTAATTACATTTTCTTTTTTCAGTGGAAGGAAATGCAATAAAACTGGAAGAACTTGCTCGTGACAAAGAACTTTTGGAAATGGCTGTTGAAGAGCACAAACAGCTCGAAAAGGAAAGAAATGAAAAGTATGTATGCCAAAACCAATGCCGGCTAGTTTTTCAAAACACATTACATCTTAAATCTTCTGTTTCTATTCCTGGAAAAAAAAGTATATGAAATCCTCCGGTCTTATAGTTTCATGTACATTTATCAAGAAATGTCTGTATTGTTAGACTATTACAAGAAAACTGGATGGTGGAGTAAGGTGGCTTCTGCTGGGGGAGCTTAGTCATTGCCTGTTACTATTGTAACTCATGTTGCTGAAAAACTTATGCTGGCCAAGATAGAAAGGTGCAGAAGACACAATGCATCACAGTTTGCTGAGTATGGGACTGCCTAGCTATAGACCAGTCAGAGTTCCCGTGATGACCCATGTCCATCGCCGAAGCACCTTTAATAGGGACGTGAGCATCAGAGGGAAAGTTGTTCACAGTTTAATTGATATGCTTTCCTAAAGAAGTAAGTTTTCAAAGATGTTTTGAAGAAGTGGAGATTGGGTGAAAGTTTAATAGAGAGGGGAAGGGAATTCCATAGGAAGGGTGAAGCTCTAGAGAAGTCTTTAAGTTGAGCATCAGAGGTAGGAGTACAAACAGAGGTTACGCGTAGGTCTCCGGCAGATAATTAGGTCAGAGCAGCATTGTGTAGAGATTTGTAAACAATATCAGGATCTTAAATTGAGACCTATATCTTACGGGCAGCCAATGTAGGGACTGACAAAGGGGGGAGGCATGGGAGTGGCTTCCTGCACTTAAAAGGTAGGAAACAGTAGGGTGACTAAACCTGTATGTATGTGTGTGTTTCTCTGTATGTGTGTGTGTGTGTGTGTGTGTGTGTCTGTATGCGTTTGTCTCTGTCTGTTTGTCTCTGTGTTTGTGTCTCTACATATGTATCGGTTTCTCTGCATATCTGTATGTCTGCATATCTGTATGTCAGTGTGTGCCCTGTGTATCTGTACGTGTGTCACTGTTTGTATTTGTATGAGTGTCATCCTGTGTATTTGAATGTTTGTTCTTAAGTGTTTGTGTTTCTGTCTGTATGTGTGTCTGTGTATCCGCTTGTGTGTGTCTGTGTATTTGTATTTGTGTCAGTGTTTTTATTTATAGGAGTGTGATTCTGTGTATCTCAAAGTGTGTAATTCTGTGTGTCTGTGTATCTGCATGTGTGGGGCTGGGGAGTGAGACGTATGGGGGAGCCTAAAGGCAATTTTCACACCGGGGCGCCGTGGTTTCTAGTTATGCCTCTGCACCAGTGTATATATATTGTGTGGCAACTACAGTGCCACCCACAAAAGATGCTGTAGAATGGGTTCCGTTGGCTGCTAGAGTTGCGGCATTGCGGGGGTGCAGTGGATAAGCTGAGTAGGCAGTTAAAATTTGCCGGGCAGCCAAGTTGGTATTTTTGCCGTGCCCGTAGAAAATGCCACCCAAGGCATGTATACAATATAAAATATCACCCGTATTTCTTAAAAGTGCAACGCACACTCAGTGTAAGGGTAACAACCTTTAAAAATAATTTACCCCAAAATCTTTAATACTGTAAAGAAAACTATAATAAGTAGAAAACAGAAAAAAATGTACAGTAAAAACAGATCTCATAGGGTAATAAAGTCAATACACCATAAAATCAGATTCCTTAAAATGCACTCACAAACACATGTTTGTGATACAGCACTGACAGGGAATCGCTGTTCTTTTACTTTATATAACTTACTTCATAGAGCTTTCTCAGGGTGGTTGGACTCAGGCAGAGAGCTCTTTGAAGCCCCAGCACCACTATCAGGAAACTAGTCTGAACTAGTTTCCAGTGGTTCTCTTCCTGGATCCTTCCGTCTACCACCACCACTTAGGATGTATCATTGTGACAACATGAGTTGATGTCCCATTACAAGGAGCCAGAATTTATCCTTCTATCTTGCCATATTGCCTATATGTATATCCATCAGTAAACATGTCATTTTGTAAATAGATGATAATTTTAACACAAAAAAAACTCTGTGTAGGAGTGGAAGCTAGTAAAAGAATTCCATTTGGGCTGTCCACAATGTCTAAAATCAGTTTTAGACTAGTTGTTTTGCTGTAACAGCAACCTCTATATACAGTTTTTATTTAGTTTAATGAATCCCACGTCCATAGTTCTTCAAACATGACGTATAAATGAAACTGGTATTTCCAGAATGTGTGTACAATGTGCTGTGATGTGGTCATATAATGGTCTGTGTGGTCATTTTTGTCTCTGTAGGAAAATAAAGCAAACCCAGAAATACAGGGAGCAGCTCCTAACCCAGGTGGATTTCCAGCAGCGCCAGCGAGATGCTGGGAGAGAGGAAGAACAGAGAGAATATGAAGCTGGCCTAGTGGCTGAAAATGCCTACCAACAGAAACTTCGAGAAATTCTCTCCCGACCATACATGGACCAGGGCCATGTTCATCCCCTGAGAAAGGCACGCATCTCCAGCCCAAAGGATTGGATTAATCAATAAAGTGAATTCGTATTTAGCCATATTACCATGCTTTTTCCTTACGGGTAAACCGTACATATTCTGATAGTTGAACAATAGCTATTTCTCTGCCTTCTTGCTAACACATCAACAAATCCTATGCTGGGGGTGATGGCAGCAGGGAATGTAAGGACATCAATTTTATCTCATTGTATTGTTAAATATCTGGTGCATTTTTATGATTTGTAGAGGTAAGAAACTTGTCCATTTAAATCAGTGAGATACATACACTTATATACCAGCCAACCAATATGATCAATTGAAGAGAGGACTCACTGGTCTTTCCAATGCAACAGTAATTTATTCAGACAAACTTTACAGAACAGTCTAATATATACATGTATGTATGTATATATATATATATATATATATATATATATAGTGAGAGAGAAAAATTATTTGGTTGCCTGCTGATTTTGAAAATTTGCCCACTGACAAATAAATGAGCAGTCTATAATTTAATGGTAGGTGTATTTTAACAGTGAGAGACAGAATAACAAAAAAACAAAATCCAGAAAAATGCATGTCAAAAAAGTTATAAATTAATTTGCATGTCAATGAGTGAAATAAGTATTTGACCCCTTCAACTTAGTACTTGGTGGCAAAACCCTTGTTGGCAATCACAGAGGTCAGACGTTTCTTGTAGCTGGCCACCAGGTTTTCATACATCTCAGGAGGAATTTGTCCCACTCCTCTTTGCAGATCCTTTCCAAGTCATTAAGGTTTCAAGGCTGACGTTTAGCAACTTGAACCTTCAGCTCCCTCCACAGATTTTCTATGAGATTAAGGTCTGGAGACTGGCTAGACCACTCCAGGACCTTAGTGTGCTTCTTCTTGAGCCACTCCTTTGTTGCCTTGGCTGTGTGTTTTGGTCATTGTCATGCTGGAATACCCATCCTCGACCCATTTTCAATGCCCTGGCCTAGGGAAGGAGGTTCGCACCCAAGATTTAAAAAAAATTTTTTTTTGTTAATCTGTTTCGCACCCAAGATTTGACGGTACATGGCCCCGTCCATCATCCCTTTGATGCGGTGCAGTCAGGGCCGGCCTTAGGGGTGTGCGAGCTGTGCGGCCGCACAGGGTGCCATAGACCAGGGGGCGCCCTGACAGCTGACACAGATCGCACATGGCCGGCTGACAAGGTGTGACTCCAATTGTGTGTGTCGCTGTACCTGTGCCGTTGTGTGTGCCTGTGCCTGTATGTGTGACTATCTGCCTTTAACTGAGTGTGTGTGTGCCTATCATAGTGCGTGAGTGTCTGCATGCCTGTAACAGAGTGTGGCCCTGTCGTGGTTTCCCTTGTGGTTGTCCGAGAGCGCGTTATTGATTCTGAAATCCTAGGTGGGGATTACACCACCTACGCTGACAACAAAGAGCAGTCAGTCTGCTCTTCCTTTGTGAGTATATTTTTAATTACCTATCACGGATATTTTTAATAGAGAGAGCACTATTAGTTGTCTCTTTTCTCTTTCATTTGAACATTGGATACACCACTGACGGAGGGAACCACCATATATCCCATAAGCGGGGATTATACCGCTATATGCGCTTCACACCAGAGCTGGATTTAGCTCGGTCAAATGTGAGTTCCCTACTATTATTTGAATTCAGTGATTTTATTTGACCTTTACATATTGCACTATTGGACTTCCTTTCTTCTTTTTTTTTTTTTTTACATATAAGTGGATCATTACACCATTGAAAGACTTTGCCCCTGCACAGTACCCCAAGACAGCATTGAGGACATCAAGATTGAATTTCTCTGCACATTAGGGACTCCCTTTTTAAAGGTTGCTGCCTGTCTGTTAATTAGCGCTGACTCTTCATTTTATTGACTGTAACGGAGTGTGTATGACTGTCTGCTTGTAATGGAGTATGTGTGGCTGTCTGCTTGTGACTGTGTGTGTGACTGTCTGCCTGTGACTGTGTGACTGTCTGCCTTTAACTGTGTGTTTGGCTCTGTGACTGTCTGCCTGCAACTGAGCATGTGTGACTGTCTGCCTGTAACTGTGTGTGTGTGTGTGTGTGACTGTCTGCCTGTAACTGAGCGTGTTTGATTCTGCTTGTGACTGTCTGCTTGTGCCTGTGTGTGTGACTGTATACAGGCATCTTTGGGGGGGAGGGGGGTGCCATGAAGACTTTTCGCACAGGGTGCTTAATTGCCTAAGGCAGGCCCTGGGTGCAGTTGTCCTGTCCTATTAGTAGAAAAACACCCTCAAAGCATAATGTTTCCACCTCCATGTTTGACGGTGGGGATGGTGTTCTTGGGGTCATAGGCAGCATTCCTCCTCCTTCAAACACGGCAAGTTGGTGCCAAAGAGCTCAATTTTGGTCTCATCTGACCACAACACTTTCACCCAGTTCTCCTCTGAATCACTCAGATGTTTATTGGCAAACTTTAGACGGGTCTGTACATGTGCTTTCTTAAGCAGGGGGACCACGCGGGCGCTGCAGGATTTCAGTACTTCATGGCGTAGTGTGTTACCAATTGTTTTCTTGGTGACTATGGTCCCAGCTGCCTTGAGATCATTAACAAGATCCTCCTGCGTAGTGCTGGGCGGATTCCTCACTGTTCCCATGATCATTGAAACTCCATGAGGTGAGATGTTGCATGGAGCACCAGACTGAAGGAGACAGTTATTTTGTGTTTCCTCCATTTGCGAAATATCTTGGCGATGGTCTTGTAGCCCATTCCAGCCTTGTGTAGGTCTACAATCATGTCCCTGACATCCTTGGACAGCTCTTTGGTCTTGGCCATGGTGGAGAGTTTGGAATCTGATTGATTGCTTCCCGGTGTCTTTTTATATAGGTAACGAGCTGAGATTAGGAGCACTCCCTTTAAGAGAGTGCTCCTAATCTCATCTCGTTACCTGTATAAAAGAAACCAGGGAGCCAAAACATCTTGCTGATTGATAGGGGATCAAATACTTATTTCACTTATTGACACAAATCAATTTATAACTTTTTTGACATGCGTTTTTTTCTGGATTTGTTTGTTTGTTTTTCTGTCTCTCACTGATAAAATATACTTACCATTAAACTTATATCATTACTTTGTCAGTGGGCAAACGTTCAAAATCAGCAGTGGATCAAATTCTTTTATCCATCACTGTATATATATATATAATTGACAATAATAATACAGTAACTGTGGATTATATGACAACTAAAACTTCTGCTTAAGGGCTACTTTATGCCCAGGTGACTTTCCACTAGCTGTGGCATTTAGGAATAGAAAGTTTACAATCCAGTATAGTGCATGTAAGTTACAATTTGCAGAAAATAAGTGACATACAATGCAGCTTCCTAATGCACAATCATTAATAGTGGAGGAGCACTCTAGGGTTTTGCAAATAAATGTCAGTCATTTATTGTTCACTCACAGTTCCATCAACCTTTTAGATCTTACAAGGTTCTTTATCAAGCTTGATCCATTTAAAATCCTACAATCAAAGTAACATAATGCATACCTGCCTCTGCTTTAGCTATAAAGGAAAGCTAAACCTTTTTTTTCATAGTTACCCAGCCTAGGTTTATTGTTTTAGTCTGTAGTCACATGGTGTAGAGGGTTGACAACTAACAGGAAACTATGGTGTAAAAAAATCTATTAAATGTTATATAGGCGGAAGGCAGGTGCCTCGCTGTCTGATGATTGAGAGCCATGTTGGTGTTTCTGCCCTTAATTATAAAAGTGCATAATTTCTATTGAAGGCCTTGATTTAATCATGTTGAATAAGCTTTTCAAATTATTTTATATTTTTGGATAAACTTTTCAAATGAATTGTTTTTTTGATACATTTTCCATTTTTATATTTTAATATTTTGCAAAAATATGAAACTATTTGAAAACCTTATCCACAAATATAAAGTTGAGGCCGATATTGGCACTTTTATAAACTGTCACAAATGTGACAGGCTCCAGATACATAAAGCACTTCAGCAAGTCTATGTGCTTTATGTGTGAGGATTGTACCTTTAAGAATAAATTGTTTTGTGACCCTTTCTATTATATCTACTGCTGGTTATCCATGTTGCAAAATCTTTTGAAATAAACCCACACCACTAATCTCATTAGAGCTTCTAGTGTCCAGGTTTTATTTGTACATCTACACTAGCATGAGGCTAACATGGCATCCACACCTCCAGCTTCATACAGAGCACATTGGAGAAGGTGAACAGCCTCCCAAGAGGATATATTGAAAAACGGGTGGATACATTGCTAACTATAGCGGAGCAAACACGAATAGTTGAGGTACCCTCAAAAAATCCCAACAGAAGGCTTAATATACACAAAAGCTTGAAAAAAGTTGCACCTAGTAATGATTAAGGTGTAAAGGGGGGGGGCGAAGCCTGACACTCGTGCAGTTTGGACGCCAGTCTCATTCTCATGCAAGTTGGCAATAAATCCTTTAATAATCGTGGTTCTGGTGAGCCATCTGCGTGTGATACTTCCTACATTCTCTCCCCGACATAACTGGCTACTGAGCTTGCCCACATTAAGGGTTACCTTGGCCTTCCGCCTGTTAAGGCTTTCAAGCTTGATTTGGCAACTACCCTGGAGGTTCTGAGCCCTTCCCTGTTGACTGTCATGAGCCATCCACGCAGAACAGCCACTATGGGTCGGCGCTCCCAGAAACCACAACGCATCACAGCTCAGAAAGTTTCAAGTACTCCAGTTACCTCATGTCTGATCACCATAGTCCTACCACACACAGGCTAAAAAGATCACGTTTCATAGTTGCTTCAGGGTCACAAAGTCCAGACAGGCACCTTCTACTGTTACCCGAGATGAGATTGTTCACTGCTACTGGCTCTCAGTCAAGAACCAAATACTGGCAGCAAAACCCCGCTAGACTTTGTGTCCTCCCAACTCAAATTCTTTCAGGACTTAACAAGGAGCACAATGCAATGGAGATGGTCATTTGGCCCAGTAACCAGCCAGTTGCATACTGCAGATGTGGAACATGGATGGGGTATACCAAGGTCCCTGATGGTGGTTAAAAACGGTGTCACGCTCAAAAACACCTGCTTGTTGCATGTTGCCCCATTTATGCAATCACTGGGACTCTCCCCACAGCCTTCGACTACAGCAAAACCCTCTACTTCACATATGTGGGATTCTGACAGGACTGTCCTGTTTGCACCATGTAGAGGTGAGAGATTGGGGACAGCCACCTGAAACGCACTCTGGCAATATGGCATCTACTAAGCTTTAAAAAAGTAAGTTGTTTTGCATCTATATTCTCTATTTTCATTTGTTTCACTCTCATATCTGGCACACAGTTCCCTTGTTAGGCACATACAGACCATAACATAGATCTTCTTGCTACAGTGAGTATTCTGTTATATACTGCGAGAGCAATTTAGCTCCCAAACTTTAATTTTTTTAATTGCTTTCTCTTCCCAAGTTCTATCTGTGAGGAGGAGGTTCGCTTTGAATGGGTCTACCCTTCCCTATCCCTGTTCATATATAACATACTCTTGCCACCTTTCAGATCGTAATGATTCCTTCTAGCCTCTCTGTTATTTATTTTTTTAATTCTTTATTTTTGATTGACAAGACAAAATGACAAGATAAGTTGACCGAGCTTGAGCACAAGCCGTAATATAATACGGGAAATAGTAATACTGCGAAGGTGAGTCACTTAAAGGACCACTCTAGGCACCCAGACCACTTCAGCTTAGCGAAGTGGTCTGGGTGCCAGGTCCAGCTAGGCTTAACCCATTATTTTATAAACATAGCAGTTTCAGAGAAACTGCTATGTTTATGAATGGGTTAAGCCTTCCCCCAATTCCTCTAGTGGCTGTCTCATTGACAGCCGCTAGAGGCGCTTGCGTGCTTCTCACTGTGAAAATCACAGTGAGAGCACGCAAGCGTCCATAGGAAAGCATTGATAATGCTTTCCTATGTGACCGGCTGAATGCGCGCGCCGCTCTCGCTGCGCGTGCGCATTCAGCCGCATGGGAGGAGAAGAGGAGGATCGTAGGAGGAGAGCTCCCCGTCCAGCGCTGGAAAAAGGTAAGTTTTAACCCCTTTCCCCCTTCCAGAGCCAGGCGGGAGGGGGTCCCTGAGGGTGGGGGCACTTTCAGGGCACTATAGTGCCAGGAAAACGAGTATGTTTTCCTGGCACTATAGTGGTCCTTTAAGACAATGCAAGTACAGAAATAACATAATAAACATGGTATACAAAACGGTTCGGTAGAATAGGTCATCATATGCGTGATGTCAATTTTTGTAATTTAAACTGCATATTATTATGGTCGCAGATAGTATGCTGAGTATTACGTACGTGGTGGTAACCGGGAGTTATGAACCTGGTACATCTTTAGAACTTTACGGTGGATATGAGATAATTAAGGATTTTTTGGCGATGCTGTGGGTCAGCTGTTTGGAATCGTGTTCTAATAGGGACCTATGTATCTGAACTAGGTGTGATGTGCAGTCGTTATAGTACAGAGCGTTACTGTATCCCAAGACCCGAGTATGATTCACCTTAGGTTCACAGGAAACCAGTATGTCCCCTAACACCTGCTGGTCTGCAGTAGGACCACAAAAGGAATGTCTTAGCCCATTGTGAGCGTCCGTGTGCTATCTATGCCTGTGGACGCTATATGTGTATTAAGAGGGTACTTGTAGGCATGGGCATAGAAACCCCCAAAAATCTGGGGGGGATAGCATTTTTACTCGCCGGGTATATTCTTATTCCGTAAACTAGGAGTTGTTTATCCCATTGTACAGCGCTACAGAATTTGCAGTTGCTATATAAATGATTAAATAATAAAATTAAAGGGTCACTACAGGGAAGGGATTTTACTTACCTGGATACAGCGCCGGGATCCTCCTGATGCCGCGCCCCCTATTTCGTCAAAATGACTTAATAGGAGGGTGTGAGCAGGGAGCAATAAAACGCTTCTATTCAGAAGCGTCATTGCTCTCTGGTGCGCATGCGCAGCTTTGCCGCACATGCACAGATACTTCATAGGGCGGCATTCATGTCTCGACTAGGAAGCACCTCTAGTGGCCATCTGAGTGTCCACTAGAGGTATTCCTCAGCAGTAATGTAAATACTGCCTTTTTACAAAATGCCTGCAAAGACATGCTATAGACACCAGAACTACTACGTTTAGCTGTTGTGGTTCTGGTGACTATAGTGTCCCTTGAATATAGAGAGGAAAGAATCATCACAAATGTAAGAAATAAAATGTCTGTATCATTATTCTAGCTTAATTTTTAGCACGACATATGACACAAACATTTTGTACTTTGCAGATTACTTTTTATATTTTTTTATACATATACTGATTGTGTAATACTGCCCCTGACTTAGGGTGACTACATTTCCTAACTGTCATTCAGTGACACTGTCAGAAATGCATTCCATACATTTTACTACCTGTCTCTACCCCTTCCATTTATATTAGAATCCCACCTACCCCTTCCATGAATATTAGAACCACCCCTACCCCTCCCATGAATATTAGAACCACCCCTAACCCTTCCATGCACAAAAGAACCCCACCTACCCCTTCCATGCATATTAACCCCCATACCCCTTCCATGCATATTAGTACCCCCCGCTCGGGCGGCTGCAGCATGAGGGGGGCCGGCGGAGCTGGGGGGGATTTCTCCATAACCTGTCCCCCCCGCATGATTTGCCGGGGGGATGCGTCTCCCCCATCCCCCCTGGTTCCTACGCCCATGCTTGTAGGAAGGTAGGACCAGAATAAGGGAGAGGAGGAGAAAAGTATAGTAAATGGAGGTGGAGAAGAAGAAGAGAGTGGGCCGAGCACCGGGGGAGGGGGGTCAAGGAGGGGGGGAGAGGGCGACAACAAGCACGTCCATGGTTGATAAGTCAACCCGTCTAAAGTTCTAATTTCTACGTTCCGTCAGGTCTGTTAATCTGCCAGGGGGCATTCCCTCCAAAATCCCCAAGTCCTCTCAAATTTCTTGTGGGTGCCTCGTATCCTAGCTGTGAGGTCATCCATAAGGCAGTTATCCTTTATTTTCCCAATCACCGCCGATCTGGGGGGGGGCTGTATATTTAGCCAATGTTGTGCTAACAGCCCGTCGAGCGGCCATTGTAATTTTGTGTAGCAGTTTTTGTTCATGTCTAGGCCAGTCCTCGATTGATTTGTTTAAGAGGTATATCCAGGGGTTGAGGGGAGGTGCTCTTTGGAAGACCTGTCCCAGTATTTCTCTGATCCCCTCTCAGAAGATTTTGATTTTAGGGCACTGTATATATGTGCCTCTAAGGCCACAATTCCTCCAGCAGAGGTCCGATGGTGTCTTTTGCATACGATAAAGCTGTACTGGGGTGGTGTACCATTGGAATAGGGTTTTAAAAGACTGTTCCTGCATGGAGACGCATATGGAAGAGGTAGCACTCGCCTCCCAGATTTCTTGCCACTCCACACCCTCCAACACCTCCCCTAGGTCCCTCTCCCAGTGGGCAGTATACTCTAAGCTGCCCCATTCTGTAGTTTCTGAGCATAAGTGGGTGTATAGCAATGTGATGAGGCCTCTTGGTGATTGTTCTCTAAGACATATGTTTTCAAAGAAGGTGAGGGTTGTGAGCGCAGCTGTTTTTACTTGTGGTTGCCTAGCAAAGTCTGCGATTTGGAGGTACCTGAAAAAGTCAGCTGGGGTAAGGTGGTGACCCTGCTGGAGGGTGTCAAAGGGTATGATGGAGCCTTCTACATACAGTTGGCAGATTCTCTGCAGTGCTGTCTGTTCAATATGTTTAAAGTTACGTGCCATCAATCCTGGGGCAAATGCCCTGTTTCTCAAAAAGGGCATGAGACGGGATGGGGAGGAGGATAGTCGGTATTTCTGGGCTGATCTGTCCCATATGTGTATGGAGTTAGTGATGACCGGGCAATCAGTCCACGTTAGGGGTCTGAGGTCCTTTGGTACCCAGATAATATATTGTGACAGGTCTGCTCCCATAAGGAGAGACTCCAGTTCTACCCATTTCCTCATCTCCATTGGGGAATGCCACATGGCTATTTGAGCTAGCTGGGCCTCCAGGTAATAATAGTATAGGTTGGGCAGACCTAG